CTGTTATTTCTCCCATCATTAAAAAGACCCCTGATTTCTCTTCCCTCTGTAGGCGTCCCTTTTCATTTCTCTCCTCAGGGATATATTAGTTTAGGGTGAATATATACACACTACTAGATAAAAAAGAGATAACCAACAAGAACCTACTGAATAGCACAGGGAACTCAATATTTTGTAATAACCTATCAGGGAACATAATTCAATATATATATATAATATATATATATATATATATATATTATATATATATATGTATAAATGAATCACTTTGCTGCACACCTGAAACTAACAACATTATAAATCAGCTATACTTCAAGTGAAAAAAAAAAACTCCTTTAAAGAGCTCTGTATATTCTCCGTGTCCATTTCTGTTTTCCCCTCTCTTAGAACTCAGTCCTTTAAGATTTCTGCTTTTTACAATTCACCAAAACTAATCATCTCCATATTTCTAACCATACTCAAGCCTCCTCAGTCTTCCTCCCGTGGGACTAAGCAGGCTCTTTCCTCCTTGAAAATTTCTTATCATTTAGCTCCAAGAAAAGCACCCTCGCCTCATTTTTCTCCTTTCCTCTTCTGGTAGTTCTACCTCATCTCACTCAATTCTTAATATTGGAATTCCTTGGGACTCAGTCCTTGTTCTTCCTATAATGTTATCTAAACTCATTCCCTAAGTGATATTATAGAATCGTTGGGCTATATGTTCATGTGTCTCAAGTTTGTATCTCCAGCCAACACGACACTGCCTTTCTTATTCTCACTTCCTAGAGGCCCCCCCTAACACAGTTAAGAGCATTTAGCTTTTCTGATTGTTCAGGGCGTAACAAACTTGATATTATCCATGAACCTCTCACTTCCCGTGGCAGGTAGGATTTTATTTTTTAATACATCTTTACCGGAGTATAATTGCTTCACAATGCTGGGTTAGCTTCTGTTGTACAACAAAGTGAATCAGCTATATGTATACACATATCCCCATATCCCCTCCCTCTTGTGTCTCCCTCCCTCCCACCCTCCCTATCCCACCCCTCTAGGTGGTCACAAAGCACCGAGCTGATCTCCCTGTGCTATGCGGCTGCTTCCCACTGGCTATCTATTTTACGTTTGGTAGTGTATATATGTCCATGCCACTCTCTTCGTCCCAATTTACCCTTCCCCCACCGTGTCCTCAAGCCCATTCTCTATGTCTACGTCTTTATTCCTGCCCTGCCACTAGGTTCATCAGTACCATTTTTTTTTGGATTCCATATATATGCGTGGGCATACAGTATTTGTTTTTCCCCTTCTGACTTACTTCACTCTGTATGACAGACTCTAGGTCCATCCACCTTACTACAAATAGCTCAATTTCGTTTCTTTTTATGGCTGAGTAATATTCCACTGTATATATGTGCCACATCTTCTTTATCCATTCATCTGTAGATGGACACGTAGGTTGCTTCCATTTCCTGGCTATTGTAAATAGTGCTGCAATGAACATTGTGGTACATGTCTCTTTTTGAATTACAGTTTTCTCAGGGTATATGCCCAGTAGTGGGATTGCTGGGCCACTACGGAGAACAGGATGGAGGTTCCTTAAAAAGGCAGGTAGGATTCTGATTCCAGAATTTTGCCCTCTGATGTTACGCATGTGAGTATGTTACATTATCTGGAGAGAGGAAATTAAGAGTGCTAATGAGCTGACCTTAAAAATAGGGAGATCACCCTGGATTATCCAGGTGAGCCCAACGCAATCACAGGAGTCCCTAGAAGTGGAAGACGAAGGCAAAAGATTTGGTCAGGGAGATGCAAGCAAGGACAGAAAAGAAACAACAGTTCGAACCATGAGCGGCAGATTCAATCTACCGTTGCTGACTTTGAAGATGGAGGACGAGGCAAAGATTTAAGGGATGCAGATGGCCTCCAGAAACTGGAAAAGTCAAGGAAACAGAGTATCCCCCAGAAACTCCAAACAGGGAGCAGCCCTGATGGTACCTTGATTTCAGCCCAGTGGGACCCACACCAGGCTTCTGCCCTATGGAACTATATGATAATACATTTGTGTTATTTTCAGCTACTAAATTTGTACTAATTTGTTATGGCAGCAATAGAAAATTATTATACTCCCAATCACCAGTTCATTAGCATTTCCTGTCAGCTCTGTTCTAAAAATATACCCCCAAATTGACTATTTCTCACCACATCCTTGTTCCATTTTGGTCCAAGCCACCATCATCTCTTGCTGAATTTATCAACAGAGCCTCCCGACCGGTTTCCCTGCTTTTGCCTTCAAAATCCTTCAGTCGGGTCAGAATGTGGCAGCCAGGCTGATTCTGTTAACTCATAAGTGCCACCAGGTCTCTCTTCTGCTCAATCTCCCAATGGCTTCAGCAGGCACTAGGCACAACAGCCAGAGCCCTTTCGACGACCTCCCAGCCTCCATGTGGTCTGGCTGTCCTCCATCTGCTCCTACCACACTGGTTTCTCCATCAGGGCCTTTGACCTCACCTGAAAAGCTCCTTCCCTCATATACCTTCAGGAGGTAACTATGGACTCCTCGGCATTTATCATTATTTACCAAACTACATGTTCAACTTTATTTGTGGTCACCCACACAAGACAGCTGAGCATCGTGTAGGTAGCGATTTTGTCTATTCCATTCATAGCTGTCTGGACCATAATAAAGACTCAGTAGATATCTGATGAGTGAGTGTACTTTTCCCATGGAATATGACTGTTGGGTCTGTTCTTTTGCCCCAATTCCCACTGCTACTACCCCAACCAAGCTCACTCCATTAACATTTCATCAATGGATTCTTAGTGGGTGTCTTTGCTTCCAGTTCTTATTCTCACCCTTCAGTGCATCCCTACGGATATTTATCCCTGATTAACCTTTGCGAAAAACCATTTGTAGCATACGAATTTTCTTCTTAGGTCTATACGATCATTCCCACTGCATTCTGCTTTAAGACCAGACCTTGAAGCATCCCCACTAAAGTTATCTACTTTAAACCATCTTTGCAGCTAATATCTTCACTTTCCACTCCTTTCAGACAGACCTCCTTGTGAGGGATTCTCACTTCTTTGCAGCTGTTCACCTGCACTGCTGCCCAACGGTTTTCTTCTTTCCTTCCTTCAAAGATCTAAGCTCTAAGCAACCATCAAGATCAGCGTTTCTCAAAAATCACAGTCACCAAAAAACTTTGCCTAACTACTCCACTTCCACCAGACTTCATTTTTACTCATGTATTGTTTTCTATTTTATTGAGGTTTTCTTCTCTCTTTGTACTTGGACTGGAGTCTTTCTGAAGATAGGATTCATCTCTCTTCCTGCTCTTTGGTCACCCAAGTGACAGCCCAGTTCCAAGCCTATAGCAACTCCTTAAAAAGTATTAACTCAGATTTTATGACTTCACTGTCTTTGCAAAGTATTATAATACATAACACAATATAATATATAATAGATTCCTCTTGTTCTCTGGGCTTACTATTTTACCACGCTTAATTTCTTTTTGACACTAACTTAGGTGCTATTCTTTTCCTGTAGTTATTTTACACAGAAGTTTTTATAACTTTGTAAATATTTTCTTGTTGTTTCTTTACTGTTAAATCGATACAGGGCTTAAATCCACCTGCGTTCTAATTTAGGATTTCTCCAACGATTAGAGACAACAATTAGTTTACCTCTGGGTAAACTTGCTCACTCTTCCCCTCCACACTACCGGAAAGTCCTGGAAGGGGCAAGGGGTGCGGTGAACCCGACAGACAGTCCCCTGCCCCTCGAGGGGCTTATAGCTTCACAGGGCAGATGGCCATTCAACGAAGAGCTATAAGTGAGAAGAGAATAATAAAATAGGAGGTAAAAGTGCTCTGGGACAGCTTTCTAGAGGATGTGGTGCCTTGGCTGCATCTCAGTTCCTTCACGTGTAAAAGGAGAGGTTGTACGACGTGATCTCTTAGGTCCTTCCCAACCAGGAGATTCTCTGCCACTCATTCCATTTTAAGAAAAAAAAATCTCAGAGCTTCTCAGAGTCCTCTAGTTTGACTAGCATGCCCACACAAAACCATAAAAAGAACCACTTTCGTCTTCTTATTATTGCTATTATTGTATAGGATGGGCTGTCGGTTTTCTTAGATCCACAATTCCCGCTGAAAGCTTTGGGACCAATGTTACTAAATTTATGATTTTTCCAGCCTGGACAGGTTAAAAATATAAATAGCTCTGGGACGACTTTGCCACTGTCACCTAAGTTACCAAAAAAAACCCTTGTTTTTCAGAGATTTTGATTTTGAAATGGAGTTAACGGGTCATGGGTCTGTACTCTGCATACCTGCTTTCGATGAACCCAACCAGTAATTTTAGAGCCAATCAAGATAAATTAACTTATATTTGCTTCTTTGAAGCTTTCTACGTTTATACCTACAGCTGGAAAGTCTCTCTCACGTTAGAACTTTGGAAAGTAGATTCTAAAAACAAACCAAAAAAATTCATACAAAAGAATACACAAAAAACAAGAAACTTCATAATCTTGTAAAGGCAACTGAAATTTGGATTGAGTACACGCTTAATAAAATTTGATGCAACAAAAGCCAAACAACTTTAAGGGATAAGCCGACTGATTCTTCTCTCTTCAGAGTTTTGGGGGGAAGTGACTTCACTACTTTATATAAATCCAGGTATGAAATAATAAATTTTACAACACGATCTCATCATCAAGGAAACAATTTCACTGGGGAAAAGTTTCATTATCGATTTGAATCAACAACTTGCTTTTCAGGCAGGTAATTCTTAAAAAATCATATACAACGATTTTACGAAAATTTTGCCTTTTTTTCACTTTTACGAGGAGACTTGGGACCTTTAACTATGTTCACTGAAACGAGTAATTTTTTCTTGAATATTTCAGACAGTTAAAAGAAAACCTCTAATATTTAAAAGAAATTCTATGTCCCACTTCCCCACCAAAAAACAACAAACCAAAAATATGAAGCACCATATCAGAAAACGATTTTCTTGTCGTTACCTTCTTTGTCATCATGGTGGATAATTGCATCCTGTATCATGTCAGCAAGGTTAAAATGAACTTTTTGATTCTTCCCACGCTTCAGCTTTTTCAGGAGCCCCTCCTGCTTCTGAAAAGCCTTCTCTCTTTCATAGTAGGCTTTGACTTGTTCACAGCGCATGCGTTTTACCAGCCGCTGCCTTTGGCCCAGGGGGAGGGACTCCAGCAAGCACTGGTCAATTTCCATTTCATGGGATCGAAAAATGTTACATAGCTGAAAGCAACCTGAAAGAAACACAATGGAAAAGTCACTAGACCTATTGCTACAGCCAAGACAGCAGCACTGCAAGCATCGCCCATCACTCAAGCTGGAAACCCATTCAGTCGTCTTTGTGCTAGACAACCAATACAAACACTTTTTAGAGACTGCAGGAAAAGCAAAGAGAGTTGATGTCCTACTCAAGACTGCATAGTAGTAAAACAGATGACACAGATATAGATGGGTAATCTTGCTCAACATAATTACTAACAATCCATCCTTTCCTGTTTCTTTAAATCTCTACCAAAGGCTTAAATGTTTTACCATGGCACTAAGCCCGTTCTAACTGAATAGTGCCAACTAAACTTTACATGCTAAATTTTGGCAGAAAGCCATTCCAAGTTTTGTAGAACAGCCTACTAAAATTGGTTTTCCATGTCGTGATGACCCTGCTAACCTAATGTAACAGAACATATGTATGCCATCAATTGTTTATATGACACAGTGATCATTCTCCACAATTTATTGCTGAGCCTTTTTCCTTGTCATCAGTGACATTCATTCCTAAAAGACCCAATGATGGTTAAATATAAAGATTGTGCAATGGAAGAGAGATTTTTCTCTTGGCAACTCAAAATTGTGTGTATGAAACTGTCGCTGTCATAGTCTTTGTCTTATTAATATAGTGATTCAAAGTGAGTTGTCTGTCCTGGACCTGAAAATCATCCCTTTCTATTTCCTATAAACACCACCCAAAGCACCTGTAATGGAATTGTACAAACTCGTATTGAAACCGGACAGAACCCCGTGGGGCCCTACTGGGTACAAAAGCCTTTCTGTGTCCCCTGTTTCTTGTTTGTAGGAAAGAGGTTTCAGCCTCCTAGACCTTCCCTGAGCTCCAAAGCGCGTTTCAAGCAGTTACTAACTACACGAGTGAGGGAATGCAGAAACAAGGGAAAGGCGGTCCAGAAACAACAGTGCAGGCATGGGGCAGGGTCCTGGTTCCTTGTGAGGGGATGCACAGAACAATCTGATACATATCTCTGAGTTCTTCTACAAGAACTAAGCCCCCACACAGAGACGGAGGATGGTAACTTGAGGCTGAGCACAGGCATGTGGAACCCACACTGGTTGGAACCTGAAGGCTGATGACCGAGATTCCCGAACACCACCCTGTTACCTCCCCACCAATCAATCGGAGGAAGGTCACACAACCCAGCAGACCTCCCTGCAAGTTTTGCCTACAAAAACTCTTCCCTGAAACCCACTGGAGAGTTTGGGTCTTTTGAGCACGAGCCACCCATTCTCCTTGCTTGGCCCTGCAATAAACATTTCCCTATTCCAACTCCAACTTGTTTGGCCTCACCGTGCATCAGGCACACAAACTTGGGCTTAACAACAGTATATTTACCACTACATTAAAATTTTACTATTGGCAGAAAATAAATGTTGAACCACTGAACACTCTAGAATGTGGCTCACGAATACAGGTTCAGATAACCGTGTGTATGTTTCTTCTCTTAAGATATATCTGATGTAAGTCTCAGGCAAGTAAAAGTAACTCTGCATGCACAAAAATGTGGCTGACTGTAAGCCACATCTGGAGAGATCGTACCATAAGCATCTACTTCATCTTTGGAAAGATGCTCTATCCCTTTGACAGCACAGCAAATTGTAACAAAGCTATTTTCATTTCTATTTCGCTTGACACCTTGCCAAACTTTATTCTTGCAAACACCAGCATAACCATCCCTGTTGTGTAGGCAAAGAAAACTACATTGAAGGAGGCTGTGACTTGTCCAAGACCACGATAAAGTTGTAAATGTCCCATAAAGGCTCAAGACAAAGACAAGATAAAAGACAGTGATTCTTGAAAGCCAGATTTTACATATATATGTGAATACATATGGAGAGGGGAGAGCAGCAGACTTGGGGAACTGTGTTTTCATTGTTCATTAGCATTTGACAAAAGCTCAATGTTTTAGAATCATATGTTTTCATAAAACTCTTCAGCAGTCTTTGCAAGAGTGGTGTTAGAAGCATCAGATAGCTACTCACAAAACGTTCCCTTCCCAGTGACCCGAACACAAAGGGACACCAGGGGTTCTGAAATTATGACAAATTGCTCTGGAGTATGACTGTCTGTGAGGGCTCATTAATAATGGAAAGGAGATTTCCTCCACTTTCAAACTTGTGTAGAAAACATCACTGGGTTTGATTTATTAACTTGGATGCTCAGGAAAAGTGTGACTTTCCAAGTTTGTCAGTGGGCACCCAGGGAATCACTGGAGCCACTGAAAAGCCTAAAGAAGTAAAACAAATGACATCGCAGAGCATCCTGTGCTTATCAGCATGCAGTCCAAGAGGGAGGTTAATCTCATAAAGCCAACGGTCCTCTCGTTTTTCGCTCTTAAAGAAAGGTCTCATGGTGAAATTTTCAATTAACTTTTGAGGAGTCTGTGGCTGCAGCTGGTGACTCACTGAGCAATCCCTCTCCTCCCTGAAAAAGAAGCTCCGAGGCTTGTTCCTAAATTAATTCCCTTATGATCTGGAAAATCAAAAGCCTGCGCTGCCAAATTTCAAATCCATACATACATAAAATACTGATGTTTAACATATTTTTGGTTAAAGAATTCCACATGCTTTGATTTTAAATGCTCTAAACTTTGATGTATTTTATATTCTGAAAATGTACTGGGCACTGTGACTTTCTTTTGGCTAATTATGGGTGGATCGGCTATGTCGTGTATATGTGCTATATGGATCTCTAAGACAGCACACTAAAAATAGCAGAGTTATGGGAAATATCGTTTTGAGGCAGTCTACTCAAAGTCTACAGAATTTCATCACCAGGGTACTAAGAACAACAATAACTAATTCCTCAGGTGATAATCTGGACGGCCCAGACGGAGGACAGGAGTCTGAACTGGGCCAGGCTAGTTTGCTCCTGGGACAGGAGTTCTGGGCAGGCACTGGTTTCCAACTGTGTGATGGGCTGATGGGGTTCTGCCTGCCCAGTTACTGACCGGGGGCTCTTCCTGCT